CCAGCAATGACGAGGTGTCTGCCAGCAGTGCTCAGCTTAAGATGTCGCTAGGCTTCCTTTGGGAGATGGCAAGACAAAGGACCTCGCCTGGATTTCTTCAGCCTGAACAACAAAAGAATGATTCCCACAGTGGCCCCACCTCTGTCCTGTGGGCTGCTCAGCTCAGGTCACCACCCAGACACCCCAGCAGAGCCCAGCCTGGGTGGGTATGTTCTGCCAGCACGGAAATGTCATGGCACCCACTTCTGCAAGGGCAACCCTGGCCTTGTTACAGGTGAGTCTAAAGAAGGCCATTTGCTTGGGTGAGAGAAAGGAAATGCCAAAGGCTAAGCAGGCTTGGCATTAGCCTCTAAAGTTCAAAGGCCGCCTGGCAACTTCCAGCGAGAAGTTCAGATCGGATGGCTCCCAATCCAGCAAGGTCAAGGGCCATTTCCCTTTCCGGGCCTGGGTGAGTCACCCTGCAAGCTTTTCATAACCAGCACTGAAACTCCAGGAGGCAGATATCATGATGTCCATTTTACAGATGAGTAAGAAACTGAGGCAAAGTGCAACGAAGCAGTCAAGGACACGCCAAAATCCAGACCCGTGTCTGTCGGACTCCTAAGCCCAGGGATGCCACCTTCCGACTTCTCACCGCCTCCCTCTGGGCCAGGAGGCTGCAAAGAATAACAGTTTCTACGAAGCCTTAGTTCAGTGATGGCGAACCTTTTGAGCTCGGCGTGTCAGCATTTTGAAAAACCCTAACTTAACTCTGGTGCCGTGTCATATATAGAAATTTTTTGATATTTGCAACCATAGTAAAACAAAGTCTTATATTTTTGATATTTATTTTATATATTTAAATGCCATTTAACAAAGAAAAATCAACCAAAAGAATGAGTTCGCGTGTCACCTCTGACACGTGTCATAGGTTCGCCACCACTGCCTTAGTTCAACCGCTGGGGAAGCCAACATCACAGACTGAGGAGGGAAAAGGTCTTCAGGAAGATGCCACAGCCGGCCACAGAGCAAAGCAGGGGTTCAACCCTCAACTTAAGGGGAAGTCAGCCAAATTTATTACCTTTTTAAAAACCAGCTTTTTAAATTGATTTTTAGAGAGATAGGAAGGGAGAGGGAGAGAGAGAAACATTGATGTGAGAGGGAAACCTCAATCAGCTGTCTCCTGCATACCCCCTCCTGGGGACCAGCCCACAATCCAGGCATCTGCCCTGACCAGGAGGTGAACCGTCAACCTTTCAGTGCACAGGATGACGCACAACCAACTGAGCCACACAGGCCAGGGCCAAGTTTATTACCTTTTCACTCTAAGGACAAGGCGAAACAGCTCAAGATTCTATGATGCCCCCATGAGTAATGTCTGAGTTGACCTGAATGGAAGGGCTGGCCCACAAGACTTATTCGTATAAACAGTCACCCTTGTCCTAAGCTTCGAGACTTCCTGGGGGTGTACAGAAAAAATGCTACCCAACCCTAACTTCTACTAAGCCCTTCTCCCTCACCGGGAGAACCATCACGGGGACTTCCAATGAGAACTCAAGTTTTAAAGGAGTTATTTCTTCTGACCCATGTCAAGAGCAGGGCACGTTTCCTGTCTGAGAATCTCATTGGAAAGACACTGGCCGCACAGCATTCTGGTCAGTAACAGCCACCACAGCGTGCTCACAGCTTGCTACTCTAGTGTGTAATTCTGGACTGTATCCAAGCTGGCTGAAAACAGGAGGAAAGAAGTGGATGTGGGGGACTGTGTTGCTAATGATTGGTAACAGTATTAGAACAAAAATTGGTAGACTGCAACTTAATCTTTTAAACACTTCCCCCTATGGAAGTGTTTAAAAAATAAAAGTAATTTTTTCTTGGCAGTTTTATTGAGATATACCTCACATATCACACAATTCTTAAGTGTTTAGTTTTCAATTGTTCATTCGTGTCATTATGTTACAACTACCCAGACTGTGGCCACACTGAAGAGGTTTAAAATACAAATGGAAACAAAACTGGATAGAAAATACACACTTGCTATACCAGCATGAGAAGGGTGGGAGAACATATGGCTGCACTGCTAGGATGTGGAATTAGGAGATTTCTTTATTTTGTAAAACAGTTAATCTTGCTGTAAGAATCATTTGACAATAAAATATGCACGATATAAAAACCTGGGAGGTGAGGGTGACCGGCTGGGACATCTGTCACCCGCGATCGCTGGGGTTGACTCGGCTGCTCTGGCCGGCTGGGCAGGTGTCCCCGCCCTCCCTCACCGCTCCCTGCGACTCTCCCAAAGCTGCACGCGCGGGTGAAGAGGACCTTCCCCGATAGAGGAGAGGACCATTCTTCCGCCAAAGGTATTTAAAAAACAAAACCAAACCCGAGAGGATAACCACCAGGAAAGAGCCATATAACCCTTTCCAAGTCAAAGCCCCTAAGGAAAAGTCCACGTGTGAGTTCGGACAGACCTTTGCTGTCACCTCCTGGACAACAGCTCTCAGTAAAACAGCCCACGGCTGAGGGCCCCCCACGCAGAGGCACACAGCCATTTCCAAAGGCTGGAAAGGGACTCGGCTTCCATGCCACGTGCCTCCCAAAGCGTCCCTCTGGCTGAACAGAACCCTGAGCTGAGTGTTCAAAACCTCAGCGTCTCCCTTTCTGCTTTCGGGGTCCTGCCGTTCAGCAAAAGCGCACGCAGCCCACCCTGCTCAGTGACCCCCGCAGAAGCTGGCACGTGTCTGCAGCCTCTTTCCTGACACGGTCAACAAGAGGTAAGATTTCACCTGACATGTCGCAACTGCTGGCAGGCTCCTGAAAGCTCTTCCGAAAATCAGTAACATCAATAGCAAACTCCTGGGAGACAAGCTCCTCGGGCAGTTTTCAGGTTCCAGATCTTTGGTTCTGATACTTTAAAAGACCAGCAATAATGCTGGGTCAGTTCTGCCCAATACAAATCCTTCATCTAGACTCCGAGTCCACTAATAACATGGTAACCGACGCACCCGACCTTAGGGGAAACTCAGGTATGTATGGCGGCTGAGGCAGAGGCCCATCCCCTGGCTGGCCAGGCCTGCAGGGCAGGGCACAAACTCTACAGCAAACTACCAATACAGTTCCCAAACTGCCCACCAAGGCACCCCAGGGTGCCGCAGCAAACTCACAAAAGTGCAGTGACATTTAACAATGTCAAGGGAAACAGAGCATACTCAGCATCTGTCAGATTCTGCACAAGTGTGTGTATTATTTTTTTCAAGAGGCTCCGGAGTTGTGTGGACAGTAATGCCGACTGTTGGAGCCAATTACCGGAACAGAACTGTTAGGGGTTTTTTGGCCTAGGAGTTCTGTGCAAAATCCCCGAGGGTGCCGGGAACCGAGAAGTGTGGCAACTTGACCCGCAGGATGAGGGCGGGAGATTAGGTTCACTTTGGTTGAAAGGCTAAGCAATGCTAACAACTGAGTTTTACTAGTTTCCTAAATCTGATAACACGTGGCCCCACTGTCTCAAATCCATAGCAGATACCTGAGGCCAGACTGTCCAAAGCACGTTCACACACATCTTTCCGTGCTGCTGTCATGGTCACCTGGCCAAGGGGGGCCAGAGTCCTAGCTTCACAGACAGCGAGTGCAGGTTACATCCTGGGCCTATGGTCCACAGCTGCAGGGGGGCTACACCCACACTTGACCCAGGCCTTCCGACTCCAAGTTCACGAAACTAGCTCCAAGCTCTGAACTCCACATTTCTGCATGACTTTTGGGCTCAAAGAACTTCTTAAATGTTTTCTTTTAACTGGGATTATACACGCCTTTTAAAAAATGCTGGAACAATTGTTCTCCCACCATGTGCCACCTCCTTGACCCGAGACAGTTTTGTTTTGACAGATGTTAGCTCCTTGGGCCAGGAGATTCTTTCCCTGGGTCGCAGCCCGGACACAGCACCTCGGGGAGCCACGAGCCTGCCCCACACAGCGAGGCCGGCCTCCCAGGTAGCTGGACAGGCCGCTCCAGCTCTCCTGAGCCAGGCCATTGATGCCCCGGTTTGTTTTCAAAGGAAGGGTGTGTCAGGGGCAGTGAGTGAGTGGAAATACCTTCATCCACAGGAATTGTGCGCAGGGGAGAAAAATAAACAAGGGAAAATGTTCCAGGGCAACCGAGGTAAAGCCCGGACAAAGGAGTGTGAAAAGGGAAGCTGGTGTGCCAAGGGCAAACAGATGCAGGAAACACTTAAGCCAGCAGGCACCCTGCCCCTGAAGTGAGGAGCTGGACCAGGCTTCCTTGTCTTGTCTGACTTTTCCTGGGACAGCAGCGCCACCTTCTGGTCAGTAATCAGAACATCTGAGTCGGCTATTACTGAACAGGTAAGACCAGAACATTGAAGTGAGAGAAGACGCATGACAACCCGAGGTGCCCAAGCATTCTGCTTCCGTGGAACACTCGGCCACCTCCTCCAGCCTCCATTTCTCTAGTCCAGGGCCAACTCAGGAAGCCCAGAGCCACCCCAGCATCCCTGACACCCCAGGCCGATGGATCAGGACCAAAGGCTCCCCAGAGGTGGTCTGGAGTTGTCATTTCTTACTCACACCCCCAAATATGGCACTTCGCACTCGTTGGTAACCCCAAACACCAGAGTGGGATGAAGTCAGGGAACGCTCAACTTTGCTCGTCCACAACGCCCAAGTCTTTCCCCAGGAAACCCTCTGGGGGTTTCGTCCAACCCCAGCCCACATTTCTTTTAGGACACAGTGGACAAGTGGTTTCTTCAACCTTGTCTGAAAGAGGTCCAGGAACAGGGAGCTCACTACCTCCAGAAGCAGCTCGACCCACTCCTGGCCAGAGATAACAGCCAGTTCACCGTCAGATGACAGCGAACGTCTGCCGTGTAATTCTAGGCTTCGCTTCCTGTGGCCGCCGCCTCCCTTCCCTTACCGGGCCTCCAAACAGCAGGCAGAGTACCAGCTCTCCCCCCCCCCCCCCCCGCTCCTTCACTTTTCCTCACATGATGTGGTTTTAAGTCCCCTCACCTTGAAGCTTTCTCTCCTCTGAGTGTACTCCAGTTTAAAGGCGGAATTCAATATTCCAAAAAACGCCTCAACGACACGAGTGACCACCTGGGGAGGGAGCAGAGGAGTACCGGTCGTCGTACCTAACACTACTGAACACAGACATGCCAGGCACTACGGAGCTAAGTATTTAGTTACATTTTACTTAGTTAAGTCTCATAAGACAAACGAGGCAGATTTGATCATGATGAGAGGCCCATTTTCCAGATGAGAAACACTGAGGTGAGGGGACTTCCCCAAGGACAGCTGGAATTCAAACCAGGTCTCTAACCCCAGGGCTTGAACTTCTCCCCACCGCCTGGGCGGTTTCCTCTTCCTCTGGGGGCCCTGCTGCCCCCAGGCAGCTCAAGGCCCCCTAAGGATAACAGCCGCTTCGTGGACACATGCAGAGCGATGACTGAGTTGTCACCGTTATTTAATGTCACCCACCCAAGACCTTTGTTTGTGAAGAACAGTGATTCTCAAAGTTGATCTGTGGACCCCTGGAGGTCTGCAAGGTCAAAATTATTTTCATAACATGAAGACATTTACCTGTTTCACCGTGTTGACATTTACAGGAGCAATGGTGGGTCAACGTGTTGGCCCTTTAGAACAAATCAAGGCAGCAGCACCAAATTCTAGCAGGAGTCATACTCTCAGTTAAAAAAAAAAAAAAAAAAAAAAGCCAATTTCACTTCTGAATGTCCTTGACGCTTGAGTACAGTTTTTGTTAGCATTTTGTATGATGACGAGAGGTGCGCGTAAACTTGGACGTCGAGGAAAAAGCACCCATGTGGTTATTTGGGTTCCAAGCTGACCTAGCGGTTTTCTTCACAGAACACCATTTTACCTGAAAGAATGACTGACAAACTATGGTCACTCCGATGCGGGAGTTTGGCCGACATTTCCTCAAAAACAAAGCCTGTCACTTCAAAGAAAACTGAGAGTATTTATTGGCAATGATAACATTCCAGCTCTCCAGCAAACCGAGAATCTGGGGAAATGTGTACTCCCCGCTGTGAGCAAGCCAGCTCCCCGACACTGAATGGCCTGTCCGCTGAGGTCAGTAATGTCATTGTCAAATACGTTTTTGGGGGCCACTATAGAAGCAAATGTGTCAGCATCGAGGAGATCTGTGTAACTCAGTGAACCATTTTCCAAATCGCTAGTGTCCGATGGTGTGGTACGGTGCCTGGGGAAAAGAGCCGTTCCAAGTGCAAGAGAGGCCGTGGTCTTAACGCAGCAGAGTACAAAAGCTCATCGCTAAGGCTTCCCGTTCCACAGGGCAACCAACTAACCTTTAGAAAATCACTGCTTGTGAGCTCTGATAAAGCATCAGAGGAGAAAATCCACAAGTACCCGAGTAACTATTAAAATACTTCTCTTTCAAACGACCTGTTGTGTGAAGACAGTTCTTCAAATACCTCAACCTAAACATACTGCAACAGACTGAATGCAGCAGCTATGAGACCTAGCTTTCCACTATGCTAGATCTTAGACACCAAGGAAACTTGTAAAATGGTAAGACGATGCCTCTCTCTATACTAACTTTTTTTAAATTTCGGAAATAGTAATTTTCCATAAGAATGTAATTTATGTTAATATGTAATGGGTTTGCTATTTTAAAATAAATATTTAACATTTTCCTCGGTTTTAACTGCTCAGAAATTGTCAACAGACAAAGCCAAAATGAAGAAAAGCTTTATGGGATCCTAATTTTTAATTGTGTAAAGGAGCCAACATGTTCTGAGAGAGCTGCTACAGCAAAAAATCAAGAGCAGATCTTTAAAAGCCAAAGTAGGAAGGAGTGCCATCTGGTGGAAAAGACAAATGTGACATGAATCCATTTGTTAGCAAAATAAATGACATCCTATTGTTGGAAACTTCACATACTTAAGGCAGAAACATCTATAATAATAAAAGCATAATATGCTCATTAGAGTGGACAGCTGGACGACCTTCCAGACGAAGCTGGGGCTGCGAGGGCCGAGCCCCTCGCATGAATTTTGTGCATTGGGCCTCTAGTTTGAAAATAAAGGTTTAGCATACAAAAATATTGTTAAATATCAATTGAAATAAAGCTTAAATGTGCCAGAAAAGTTTCAGAACAGAGGGAGGGTTGAGAGGGTTTGAGTGGAGGCCCCCTTGGGAAGAGCTGATGGCAGGCTGGAGAGGAAGTCAGGGCCCTAAGGAAATTGGGCACAGAAGACTCCTGCCAGGGACTGTGCATAAAGAAACAATTCCTGTCCCTATTGGGGAGCCCAACGGCCCACCCCCCCCCAAAACTAAGACAGAAGCCAAATACTAATGCTACTGGCCACTTTCATTCTGCCAGGCCAAGGGAGCTGTACCTTCCTTCCAGGCCACAGCCCGCCCTCTTGCCAGTAATGCTTGACGAGCAGGCCTGGGCTCCTCCCAGCAGACAGGAGCCTGCGCCTACTGTCGCTAGCATGCATTTTTTCTCCTGCATGCTGATGCTAACGCTTCTTGGTGAAGTGTTTTCTTCTCTGCATCATCCCCAGCCTTTCATGGGTTGACGTCAGTGCCTGCACACAGTCCTATCCAATCACACAATCAGTTCAAATTTGGAACTGATGCTGTATTTTCAAATATGCTACTTTAGATCCTAATTGGGTATAATTTTCCTAAATTCCACTAAGTCACCTTAAAGGCCTCAGCTGGGCTTTTGTTTTTGTGTATCTGAGAGTGCATTTATTAAAGCCGGAGACAGGGAAGCAAGGAGGGGCTTAGGATAGAAGCAGCAACAGGAGAACCCAGGCGGGGCTGCTCTGGGGAAAGGGGGCCTTGGAGACAGATTCAGGTGAGCCTGGGACAAGGGGACACTGCCCACTGCTCCCCTGGTTGCAAGTCTCCTGGGGACCTCAGAGCTTAGGAGATGCAGGCCTAAGGGGAAAGAAAGGGATGGGCATGCTCTTGGAGGGGGAGTGTGCCAGCTTCAGCTGGTTTAAAGCAGTTTTTAATCACAAAATTTGGTCCCTATTCCCCAGCCCCAGAGTGATGGAATCAGCCTTTCTCTTTGGGGGGCTGTGGCGGGGAGCTTGTCCCTAAAGAATGTTTCCCTGACAGGTACACTTGTACCGATGCTCAGCACACAATAGGGCAAACCTACTCGACACAAGTGGGGGTTCTTCACCTTTATCACGATAGTCACGGAGTGTGAGCATTCCCCAGCTGCTACTTGGATGGAGCTATAAGGAGAAACTATGCTGTTGGGAGAGACCATTCTGTATGGTTTACCCAAGAGTGGAAGGGCGCGAGCCTGGGAAACAGTGATCGGCTCAGCATCCCCAACAGCAGGGGGAGGCCTCATGCTGTCTCACCCTCTCAGGCCCTCCTTCTGCACGTCTAGACAGCTGAAGGGAACCCAGAGTACACAAGGCGGCCCTTCATGCTTCCTGATTCTGGAAACATCCCCAAATCTAACCCCCTGCGGGAGCAGTGACCCACAAAGCACACCTGGACGCAGAGCACAGGGAGGCTGTGCGCTCAGCCAGCAACCAGGCTCTCTAGTCGAGATCTGGCACTACCTACAAGGCCAGGGGTCCAGGCTGCTCCCGGATTTACTCCTTCCAGAGTGGCCTCCAGGTTTCTTCATGAAACTGATTTCATCCCAGAACATTTACACATGGTTGCACAGTGTGTCAGTGGGACAGACCTTGACCAGACATATGAACTGAGCCACAATGTTAAAATGCCTTATTCGCATCCAGCCACCCACCACAGCCAACACCAAGTACCTTCGGGTCATCAGCCTCAGGTTTTTCAGTCTCTGAATCGTCATCTTCCTACAAGACAAAGAATTTAGAGGATTAAGCTTAAAGGAGCGGGCCTGAGGGTTCACATACGCACAACTAGGGGTTGCAGCAAACTTACTCAGCCTGGGTCATCCCACCAGGACCCCTCCCCTACCATATGACCCAGCACGGGAGGAGGAGATGTTCTGGGGGAGGAAGAACACCAGCGGCTCACAGCAGATACTCCAGCAGGACCACTGTCTACACAAATGAAAATGCCTGAGATGAAAAATCGCCAACGGAAGAGTGGAGGCAAGGCCACAAGACGCTTCAGAAAAGAATAAGGCCAGGCCCCACAGGATGAAGGCATGCTGTTTCCAATGAAACATCCATCACTTAAAACCAGAAACACAAGCTGTTTCCTTGCTTTTCATATACACAAATAATCTGACTCAGACCTACCATGACACCATTCACCGCCAGAGTGCCGTGACCCCCACACACCTGTACCTCGGCAGTTCAACCCAGCAGTATTTGCACCAACATGAACGCTAGGAAGGCAGGTGTCAAATGCCCAGGGTGAGTGACTCGGGAAAGGCATGACTAAAGAGCAGTGCCCAGCCTCTTCTGGGTCCCAGGTGAGTGTGCCCCGTTTCCAGCCAAGTTCCCCCAGAACTGCCTTTACCGTTCTATCCAGCCTTGTTCCTTATCCAAACGGCCTGCTCCACACAAAGCACCATTCTCCAAAGCATGCGCTGGCCTCACACGAGCAGGCCCACCATTCCACTGAATGCTAACGAAGGCCACAGACAGCGCCACTGCCCAGAGCACCCCAGTGCACAGAACCTTTAACTTACCACCAGGAAAAACTTAAGTGTCATTTGAAACTGTTTTTTTTAATCGATTTCAATTTTAACCCCCATATTAAACAGCAGTCCAGATGTTAACATAATCATCACCTGAAAGACGTGACTGAACTATACTGATGGGTTTGAGATTTCACTGTCCTATAAGGCATTTAAAACGAGCCAAAGGTTTTAAATGCAACCTCCTTAAAATGAATCCAATCAGGCCAAATATCAGAGATGTGGCGCAGCCAAAGACAATCACATTTTAGAAGGTCTCTATTGGGATCTGATGAGAGGATTTTACTAAAATGTGAAATAAAGCTTAAATATGATAAAAATCCTAAGCAAAGCGAATGTGGAATAACACTTCAAAACACACTATGCAGATTTACACAACAGCCAGAATGTTTGCACGTAAGAAAAGTCAGGGAAAGAACATAACTTGCAAAGCTTTTCTAACCAGTTTCAGTCCATTCTGAATTATTAGCATTGATGGTGGGGCTAAAGGCATGAAAATACCTCCTGAAAGGGCATAAAATATAAAGTACAGTTTTGCTTAATTTGGAAAGCATTTTTAATGGTAACATTTAAATCTCAACAGGTAGCAAAGTCTTCAAACACCTGATAAAAGTACACTGAATGTTTCAATTAAAGCTGTTGTCAAATATCCACATTCAACTTTGTATGTTTTTGTGCTAAGCACCAGCTGAATCCTTGTTTCTCCCCCCCAAAACTTTTAAACTCTGGATCGTGATGCTTATGTGATATTGTATCTAAAGTCTTTCTGGTTAAGTTCTCTTAACCAAGTTCTCTTTTGTGAACCACACCTACTAAATTTCAGGCAAGACTGGTGATCAGGAACTGGGCACTGTGATAAAAAGTGCCAAGTAAAATGTCAAGAAAGAAGTTAAGAAGTCAATCATACACACACAATAAAAATAATTTTCCTTCCTAGTCTTTTGAATAAATGGATAGATTTGAATGAGCCCCAACCAAGATAAAAAATAATACAGAGCTGACTGTAGATATAAATGACACACCAATTAGAATGACTATACTGTTGCAAATGAATAAACGATCTAAACAGGGAAAACGAACATAAAACACCCACTGGTATCTGGGTCAAATAAAATAATTCACTATCTTTCCCCCAAATATTAAATTCAAAGGTAAATACAAAATGGTCCAGGTGAAAACAAATTTGATTTTCAAACAGCACTGCCAATATCCAACCCAGTTTCCTTAATTAACGCCAAAGAGAGCGGGAGGAGAGGGGATGAAATTAGGTGTGAAATGGAACGCTGCTGGAACAGTGTGGAAAGTTTCTAACAAGTGGATGGTGCTATGAGAGGCTCTGGATTTGGGAAGAGAGTTACTCACCGATTGTTTGCTGTTTTCCTCCTCCTCTTCCTCATAGCCATCTTCATCACCCCCGAGGCGAGAAAAATCGTCCTCTCCATACGCGTCAGACACCAATCCGCCTTTCTCCTCTTAAACAGAGGAAAAAATGAATAAAAATGAATAGATGGGGGAGATGCAAGAAAGCCTTTCAGTGGTTCTCAACCTTCTGGCCCCTTAAATACAGTTCCTCATGTTGTGACCCAGCCATAAAATTATTTTCGTTGCTACTTCAACACTGTCATGTTGCTACTGTGATGAATCGTCATGTAAATGTCTGATATGCAGGATGGTCTTAGGCGACCCCTGTGAAAGGGTCGTTCGACCGCCAAAGGGGTTGCGACCCACAGGTTGAGAACCGCTGCTTTAGGTGATCTGAGCGACTAGAATTCTATCTCAAGGTAAAAAAGGAACCTAAGTCTCGTGTTGAATGACCTCAGGCCCTAGATTCTGCTGTCTGAGAGCCTCCACTGACGTCTACCTTGGATCACAGGCTCCCGCGAACTCATCTTCTCATACAAGACAAGGACTCTGTCATCCTCCTTTCTGTGTGTCCTCCCCTAGGAACAGGACCTTGAACAGGGGGTACGCCAAGGGGTTCCCAATCGTACCCACTTGAGAAACAATCTTTTTCTACATTCAAGACAAAACAACCAACACCCGCCTCCCCCAAACAATACAAATTACTGGGAAACCACCAGAGACCCCCCTGACTGGCAAAAACCACACAACAGAGAGTAGCTGACCTAGTCCAAGCCCCCTCTCTTCCCGGATGAGAACACGAAGGTCCAGCTATATTGTAACTCACTGTCTCTATGCTCCCAGGTAAATCTGTGCCCACTTCCCAGCATCGCGATCCCCAACCTGAGACAGGGCAACAAAATCACCGAGGGGGCTTAACAGCTCACGAAATAATGGAATCACGAGGGGCCTCGGAAAGCTCACACGAGCCCAGATCCTACCCCACATCTACAGAATCGCGCGGCGAAGACCAGATAAACGTTTTAAAAAGCTCCGCGATGCGTCTAAGGCCCATTACTAGTTAAATGTTATAAAAGTAAAAAGAAATCCTCCACCTACGTTTTACTCGCCACTCTCTCCCATCCAACACGCTCGGAGAGAAGAGGCCGTGTTTCGGCAGCCCTGGACCCTCTCCACCCTTTGTCCATCCCGACCCGAGAGGGATGCCCGGCACGGAGATTTTCAATCAGTTTCGGCAGAATAATCGAACGGGCGGAAGGAGAGGACCCATTCTTACCACGGAGTGTTCGGATCGCGCTGTGGGGTTCGGGAGCCCGACACCTGGCGCACAATGCCCACCGCTTTCCCTCCCGCCTCGCAAGAACTGAGCAGCGTTCCGAGCGAACACCTGCTGCTCCCCTCCCCCCTCCCGCCTCCCGCCTCCCCCCTCCCCCCTCGGGCCTCACCAGCCGCGCTGCCCGCCGTCTCCACTCCAGCCTCGCCGTCCGACTCGGGCTCGGAATCTTCCGCGTAAACGGCCAGGGAAGACAGGACGCTCTTCTTCCCCGCCATCTTACTCCCACAGCCGCGGGGTGGCTCACTGCGCTGACTCCGGCGAGCCGACTTCCACACAGAAAGGCGACATCTTCCGGGTCCCAGAAGGCCCCGCGCCCGCTCCGAACCGGAAACCAATCAAGACGGCTGTTTCTGCGACTGGCCCCGCCCCTCACGCAGCGCTCGCGTAACGTCATTACTGCGCGACGGAAACCAGGTTGCCGGGGTTTCACCCGACAGTGGTAGTCCAGCCGTTCGGCTTCTGCGAGTTGGCGGTGGCGGTGGGGGTCTGGGAGTAGTTCCCGAGCCTGCAGGCGCCGGCCGCCCCCCGAACTAGAGCCCTCCGCTCCCGGGCGGCCCACGGCCAGCTCTGATATCTTGGGGTGAAGCGGACTGGGGGCTCAGAGAAGGAGAGGGGAGGAGCTCTCACCCTGGGAGTTGGGAAGAAGGGATCTGGTCTGGGGGGGAAAAGAATGGGCTCCATGGCTATGCTTATAGAAGGAGCAGAAGGTGGATCTTAGACAAACAATCCCACCTTCTCCAAGCGATTCCGAAGACATTTGTGCCTGATTTCTAGCTCCTCTGTGCATACGGTGGCCCGGGATAGTTCCGTGTTTTTATTTTCACTGATGGGAAAGGGGAGATGTTAATTACCCAGGAATGTATTGACATATGACTTGAAAATAATATATTGCTTGAGTAGTGTAATCAAGCACATTTACTAGTATACTAAAGAGGAAAATAAGCAGTATTTTAAAAGCAGACCAGGGTTTCTGTCACAACCCGGTGATCATCACCTTTGCCTTAACCTTTGGCTACTGTCTGTCGCTAAGATGAGCACCCACCGTTCCTCTCCTTTTGACCCTGAGCGGCGAGTCCGGAGCACATTGAAGAAAGTCTTCGGGTTTGACTCTTTTAAGACACCTTTGCAGGAGAGTGCGACCATGGCTGTAGTGAAAGGTAACGAGGCCACGCTACCTGTGTTTACATTTACCCCGGCTATACCCGAACACTGCCGGGAACACCCTCCTTCTGACCCTTCCTACCCCCCCAGCCTTGGTCCATGATTGGCTTTGGGAATCTGAGAGACCCCAAACTTGCAGTTTTATGGGTAGAACCACCCAACTGTTCTGTTTCTTAATGTTATAGCCAGCGATGCAGACTGTCTTTGAAAACAGGTCACAGATGCCCATTAGTTTGTGTGGGAGTGGCAGGAAAGGCTTCAGCCAGTCGCTGACCTAGGTAATCCCTTTTGTTAAAGATTGAGTGGCCTGGGTCCCAACTAGGGAAGGAAGGATTCATAATATTATAAACTTGAGATTTGTTGACAAATGGAGGTTGCCAAGAGGGGAGCAGCTGTGGAAAGTTAACTACACTGTACTGTTTATAGACAAGACATCTAAATGATGTTGCTTCCACGTCTACGCAGATATGCGCAGTCATGTGGCAGTGTCATCTTCCATGGCTGCTTAGTTCAATCTTCTATATCCCAGCAGACTCAGACTTCTTCACGTTGTAGTTGCTATTGCCATGATTAGAAATGGTTTGTGTGCTTTCCCAAATGTCCCTGTACCCCTTTTCATAGAAAGGATGGGAAGGGAATTAAGAATATATTGACACAAACACCCCCCTACCCCCGCTCCCGCATGTACCAGACACTCTGGTAGGGCTTTTCCTACATTCTCATTTAATTTTCAACAGCTTTGATGAAGGAAAGATAAAAGGCAGAAAGCACTGAGATGCTGTCTTGTATTTTTTCAGGTGACAAGGATGTTTTCGTGTGCATGCCCACAGGGGCAGGAAAATCCCTCTGCTATCAGCTCCCTGCTCTGTTGGCCAAAGGCATCACCATCGTCATCTCTCCCCTCATTGCATTGATTCAGGTGAGGCTTAGGGAAATGAAGATGCTGGCCCAAAAACGGTTAGGGGAAGGTTGTTTGTAGCTGGAAATTTCACTTCTGCTTTCTTTGGTCTTTTGCCTCTTACATTCTTTGATTTGCTTATCCCCTTCTCTGTATTGGGTTTCCGAATTGCCCATACGTGGGCTTCTCCACTAGTGCATAGTGCTGTGTGGTCTCTTACCTTCCTATGTTACTTTTTGTCCAGACGAATACGGAACTGTCTCATGCACACTCATGCAGATGGGTAGAGTGCTGAATTGATGGGGGGGATCCTGGTGTCCTGCTTTATTCTGGCAAGGGCGCACCTATGATAGAAAAAGCGATGAGAGGCCGATTGGGATGTTGTTAACACCTGCTCTGCACTTCTGACTATAAGGCCTGCAGATGGGCTGCTAGAATCAGAAATGAGGAAGTGTAGCCATGTAGTTAAAAGCTATCAACTGTGAAGAAAGAGAGAGACACGGAAGAACGGTAAGAGCGCTAAATGAGTGATTGCCAGGGCTTTGTGCTGGTGCTTCATGTGCATTCACTACACCTTTGAGATGTACGATTTCATTCTCACAACGATCCTATTAGGTGTCACTGTATTTATAGGAGAGAGAGAGAAAGAGAGTGAGAAAATGGACAGGCTAAGGTTAAGAACCAGCCCAAGAGCATGTGGCAGGTAAGTGAGCCGGGATTAAATCCAGGTCTGCCTGCCCGACCGGCTTGGCTCAGTGGTTGAGAGTCGCCCTATGAACCAGGAGGTCACAGCTGATTCCCGGTCAGGGCACATGCCTGGTTGTGGACTCCAATCCCTAGTAGGGGGCATGCAGGAGGCAGGCAGTCAATGATTCTCTCTCGTCGTTGATGTTTCTGTCTGTCCCCCTTCTCTAAAATCAATAAAAATATATTTTTAAAAAATCCAAGTCTGTCTGGCCCCAGGGCCTGTCCTCTCAACCACGCCGCCTTCAGTCCTTATAGGCAAAGAAGACATGGAGGGTGGAAGGGGGAGCTTTTATGGCTGGGAAACACGCCTGAGATGCTGAGGGCCACCCCCTCCCCTCCGTGCTTCTCCCCTCCTGCCCTCAGGACCAAGTGGACCACTTGCTGGCCCTGAAGGTGCGAGTGAGGTCCCTGAACTCGAAGCTCTCGGCGCAGGAGAAAAAGGAGCTGCTCTCCGACCTGGAGCAGGAGCAGCCCCGGACCAAGCTCCTGTACATCACGCCGGAGATGGCGGCCTCCGCCTCCTTCCAGCCCACCCTGAACTCCCTGGTGTCCCGCCACCTGCTCTCCTACCTGGTGGTGGATGAAGCTCATTGTGTTTCCCAGTGGGGACACGACTTCCGTCCCGACTACTTGCGCCTGGGTGCCCTGCGCTCCCGCCTGGCGCATGCCCCGTGTGTGGCTCTGACCGCCACAGCCACCCCGCAGGTCCGGGAGGACGTGTTTGCTGCTCTGCACCTCAAGCAGCCGGTTGCTGCCTTCAAGACGCCCTGCTTCCGGGCCAATCTCTTCTACGACGTGCAGTTCAAGGAGCTGCTTTCTGATCCCTACGGGAACCTGAGGGACTTCTGCCTTAAGGCGCTTGGCCAGAAGGCTGGGAAAGGGGTGAGAGCCCTGAGCCGGGGATTGGTTTTCTAAGACCTTTGCTTTTTCTGGCTTCCTGAGCGCAGACCAGCTGTAGCTGCTTAAAGCACAGAGGCTTGTTTCTTTGGCTTCCTGGTGTCCCCTCACTGGGCTCTCCTTGTCCGGAAATGCTCTGACTGTGGCCTTTGCAGGCCTAGTCAGGGTTGGAGGGGAGGAGGCAGAGGAGCTCGGTGGGCCGGGCCCCGGGCGGGCTGAGCCGCTTCGGTCCTGCCTCTGAGGGTGGCAGAGCCCTGCTGGTGGCCTGCCAGGGAGACGGTGGGGCTGATGAGAGACCGGGCAGAGCTCCTGTTACAGAGGCCACAGGGTGACGGGCAGATGGCTCGTTTTTCCCAGCGCTGATTTCCTTCCCGTTGTCCTGTCTTCGCCTTCAGGTGCTGTCCGGCTGCGGCATCGTCTACTGCAGGACCAGGGAGGCTTGTGAACAGCTGGCCATAGAGCTCAGTTACAGGGGGTTGAGTGCCAAGGCCTACCACGCAGGTGAGGGCCCGGGCCGCGTGGTCCTCGCCACGCGCACAGGCCTCTTGGCGCGTCTCTTGTTCCCGTGGATCCTGAAAAACCAGGCGGTCTGACATCCTTTCCAGCTTCCCAGGCGGAGCTAACACGGTTCACTTAAACCCACAAGAAGGAGTCTAGCCAAGAATGAGGTCCAAAATGAGACCGTGACTCCGGCATGCTCTCTCGCCCTGTGCCCAGCAGCCGGGGAGGAGTTGGGAGAGCCCAGCTGCTGGTAGTGTGGGAAGGGCACAGGCTTTGGAGGCCAGTGGACTTGGGTTTGAATCTTGGCTAACATTCATTGAGAACACAGGCCGGGGCCTTTATATTTATTAGTTCAGGCTCAGAGAGGCTAAGTGCCTGGCCCGTGGTCACACAGCAGGCAAGTAATGGATTCAGGGTGTGTGTGCAGTGCCCAAAAGAGTGTCAAACCCAAGACAGACCCCGAGGGAAATGCGAGCTCCCTTCTCCACCTTCCCCCCTTTATAGGGCTGAAGGCCTCTGAAAGGACGCTGGTGCAGAACGAGTGGATGGAGGAGAAGGTCCCTGTCATTGTTGCCACCATCAGTTTTGGGATGGGAGTGGACAAAGCCAACGTCAGGTGAGCTCTGGTTCTTGTCTTACCTTTCTTATCAGGGCCTGGCTCGGGGTGGGCTGCCAGGAGGACCAGGTCCCTGGGTTCCTTCTAGCGCCAGGGGGAAGGCGGCCCCAGGGGAGGGTCCCTGGTACACAGGCCACACTTTGACAGTGTCTGTGCAGCTGCTCCCAGTGTTGGCACAGCACGGTTCTGCCATCCCCCAGGAGGTGGGCAGCACGCAGACCACCAGGCTCACTCATTAACACAGCGCCGCTCACTCACGTCTTAGCGGATGGGCCCAGTGAGGGGGGAATGAACCATCTTAACCTGCTCCCTGCGGAAGTCAGAGGCAAGCGCTTGTTCCCATCACTGCCTGTTACTGCCGGCTGACCGGCCAGAGGAGACGAGTACAGCCGGCCTCCAGGCCCCGCTGGTGGCGGTTGGGAGTCTGACCTTGGGGAGACATTTGGGCTACAGACGGAAGCGCTGGGTTCTGAACAACAGCAGCACTAACGCCGCGCATGG